TTTTTTTTTTTTTTTGTATAGGAGACTGAACCCAGCCCTTTTTTATTATTTTATTTTGAGACATTATTTTGTTTTGCTAAGTTGCCCAAGCTGAGCTCAAACTTGAGATATTCCTGCCTCAACCTCCCAGGTGTGTGCCATCATGCTTGGCTCAAACCTCCTCTTGAACAAGCTACCATCACGATTCCAAACACCTCTCAAAGGCAGCTAGTGGTCTGTAGAATGAAAAATTGGATCTAATGAAGAAATGTGTGGGGCCCAGCCTAGAACTTTCTCAGCAGCTGTTGCCTGCCTTGCCCAGGGCCACCTCCAGGCTTTGGAGACAAGCAGGTCTGTGTACCAGTCCCCACTAAGCCAGTTTTCACCCATCACCAAATGTGAAGAGTTGTTTTCAAAGCCCTGCATAGTAGTCCTCATCCATGGGGGATACATTCCAAGACCTCTGCTGGATGCTTGAGACTAAGAATAGTACCAAACCTTACGTATACTATGTTTTTTCCTGTACATACCTACCTGTGGTAAATTGTTGTCTTTTTGCTTAAAGAAAGCACTTTATGGCTTTGCCATATCTAAATTGCCAATCTCACTACTCTTACACGTTAGGAGCCACATGTAAGTAAATTAAAGACCACTTGTTCACTAGCACTGTGACACCAAGACAACTGATCTGAAATGGTTGTAGGTGGCCAACAGGTAGGTAGCATATACAACAGGGATCCTCTTGACAAAGGGCGATTCACATTCTGAGTGGGACAGAGCTCAATGGTTCAAGATTTCATTCTGCTACTCAGGTCATGGCATTTAAAACATGAATTGTTTACTTCTGGAATTTTCCATTTAATAAATTCAGAATTCAGACCACCAAGGGTAACAGAAATAACAGAAAGTGAACCTGTGGATAGGAGGAACTATTACAGGTAAACTTTTACTAAGAGTGAGGGAGCCAGGGGCTCCCCTTTGTGGGTGTGGGTGAGGAGACATCCATAAACGCATAGGCACACATCCTGTCACAAATACAGTATCTCTCACTCCAGGCAGGGAGGGTTCTGGGAAGCTGTTCTTGCCAAAATCAAATTAGCCCATGCTGGCCTGGCCACTCATGGAGCATAGTGAGGGCCTCTTCGGTAGCCCAACCTCAGCCAGGAGGTGGAGGAGTCATCTGGAATCAAAATGCCTGAGCATACCTCTCTCATCCTCAAGCTCAACAAATGAGCCAGTGCCTTTCCCCATCCAGGTCTCTGAGTTTGGACCTCAGCTGATTTCTAGGCCTTGGGCAGGAACAGGGCAAAAATGACAGCTGCAGAACCAGACCAAAGGTTCTTGTCTGGCTGTGAGACCTAAGGCAAGGCATGCTCCCATGAGCAGCCTCAGTTTTCTTTTATATATAGTGGAGTGACAGAACCCTTAATCAGCTGCTTACTGTGGAGCCCAATGCAGAAGAATGATCTGGATAGCTTGAACCTGGAGAGGTTTGTACCTCCTGCTCCTCTGAGGCCCCAACCATGCCTCCTCCCCAGTCCTGCCTCATCTGTCCTTTCAGTCTAGCTGCCTATATCCAGGTCCTAACATCAGATCATGAAGGCCACATTAGGGCCCCTCCAGGGTGGGGCTGGGAGCCCAGTATCTCCCAGCTTCAGAAATATGTCCTGCTCCTGAAGCCCCCAGAAGGGAGAAAAACACAGTCAATAAGTCTGAGATGTCAAGAAATAGTCTTTATTACAAAAATCTGTATGTAAACAAATAGCAAGTGTATGGAACACCTTTCCTACAGGCTCCAGGGCATGCACAGCTGGATGTAGAGGAAAGCAATCCCCATGCACAGGCCTGCCCCATGAGCTGGGCCCTGGCTGCTGCTGGGATCCACATGGGCCTGCACATGCATCCCTGGGGGCCCAGCCCTCACTGGCCACTGGGAGCTGTCTCCCTGTGCAGCACTATCTGTCCATGAGGTCGGGGAGGCCCAGCAGGCAGCTCCAAGGGGTGTAGAAGCTGAGCCAGTCCTGAGGCACCTAGAATGGTTGGCTGGACCAGCCCACCAACCCATCTAAACCTCTGCCTACCACAGTGAGGGGCCTTAGAGAACTGAGAGGTCATGGCAGGACTTGGACTTGGCACGAAAAGCCATCTTGCGGCTGTTTCGCGCTACAATACGGCCCAGGAAGCGCTTTGCCTTCTTGCCAAGGCTCTCCCGCCGCTGGCTGCCAGCTTGCCGCCGGGCATTGGCCTCTTTGCTGTCCCTGCGCAGGCGTATCTGGCGTACGACCCCTTCAAACAGCGCCTGGACATTGTGATGCAACGCTGCTGATGTCTCGATGAATTTGCAGTCAAAGACCACAGCACAGGCCCGGCCCTCTGGTGTGGCAGCAATAGGTACATGTCAGGAAACAAAGGGTGGGGAGGTGGGGAGTCCATTCAAACCCTGGCCACCCCCTGGCAGCTATCACTCAGGAGTCCTCCAGGCAAGGGGGAACCCTGGGCCCTCCCCAGAAACACAGAGACCCTCGTCCCTGTAGTTCACATCTCTGGCACTGCTGGGTCACCCCAAAGGTTGAACGTGGCCGTGTTTAAGGAGTCCTCGAAATGGAGGTATACAAAAAGAGATTCATTTATTTATTTGAAGTCCAGTAATTAAATAAAAGTACTGTAGTCGTCAACTAACAAAAATGAGAACTGTTTTGGACAATTTAGTGTCTTATGATTTAATGCTACATTATGCTGAATGATACAGTGGACTGAGGGGAGAGGCAATGTTACCAAGGCACTGGCAGTTTCCTTTGAGAGGCTCGGTACTGGGAGCCACAGAAGAGGATGCTGAGCCCAAGAGAGAAAGGCCAGGCTTATTCTGAGACTGGCCTCAGCCTGGCTCTTTGCTTCTGACCTGGTTCCCTGTACTCTCTCCCACCTACTCAACTCCCACCTGCCCCAAAGGTGACTCAGCTTCCCTAGCAGATCTGGTTCTTTCTCCAAGCCTTTGGGCGGGATAGCAGCCCTCTCTCTCTCTCTCTTTAGTACCCTTCAAGTTTTCTTCCTGAACACTTTTAGCCACTGATGATCCCCAGAGACTCAGGCTGAGCCAAGACTAGACTGAAGCCCAGCCAGGATCTCCCTCCCTTTCCTGATGCTGCCTACTCACCATCCACAGAGACTTCACGGGAGCGCACCAGATCACTCTTGTTGCCCACAAGGATGATGGGGACATCATCTGCCTGCCGTGCTCGCCGCAGCTGGACCCGAAGTTCTGAGGCCTTCTCAAAGCTGCCTTTGTCAGTTACTGAGTACACAATGACATATGCATCCCCCATTGCCATGCAGTGGCCAGGCAACCATCGGCTCCCATCCTGGAGAACACACACAAATGTACACACTGACCCAACAGTTCTTGTGCCCCTGCTGTGAGCCTGTCACTCCTGGCAGGATCCCACCCCAGTTCACTCCTGTTCCTACCCTGGATCCCAGCTCCATCCTACCTGCTCCCAAATGTCATAAACCATGAGTGATGCTTCTTCTCCGTCCACCATGATGGAGCGATCATAAGTGTGCCCTAGGCAAGAGGCCAGCAAACAGGTTACCAGTTGGCTGTCAAAAAAGCCCCCCCTGCCCCTTTTCCTATTCTGGTCACACCCTCCCAATTCCTCCCAGAGTCCCACTAACATTCTCTTTCACTTGCACATGGTTACTATGGGCAACAGAAGGGACAGTGTTGGGGCTTAGGGGGTGCAGGGCATGGTATGCGTGACCTTCCCACAAGTCCCCAAGATAGCAATGTATTGGAGGTCCAGTCCAGGGCTCCCTGCCTCCCTGCCGCCAAGCCCCAAGGTGACTCTGATCACAATGTCCTGAGTTAGAATAGTGATTGTCACACCTGGGGGGGGGGGCTTGGCCACCTAGGGCTCTGCTTCTAGAAACTCCCTCTGGTTGTGTTTCTGCCAACCCCAGCAGGAAGGGATGTCCAACCCTCATGCCACAAAGCAGTCATAGCCAAGCCTCAGGTCTTCTATTCTAGGCATTTCTCCCATATCAATAGTTGGCATGTGGGGTGTAGGGATGGTATCCCTTTTCCTTTAGTTTCCCCATCTTGAAATGGACGGCAAAGACATAATTCTGAAAGTGCATTCAGAATTCCATGACGTTTGCCCATTTAGTCCAGTTCCCAGCCCACAGGCACTCCTCTCCATTCTTTTGGTAATCCTGAGATTTCCCCTCCCCTAAACTACCCATCTCCTCACCTGCAGCCTCTGCTTCAGGACCATCCTCTACACCACCGAAGATGCGTGCCAGAGCGCTCTTGCCCACGCCAGATGCCCCTAGCAGTAGCACCTTGTATACCCTCTCATTGTCGGAGCCACTGCCTCCTGAACTGAGTGAGTCGGAGGAGCCCTCTGCCCAGTCCAGCCTCGGACTCTGGGTCGCGGTGCCCGAGCTGGCCAGACCAGCAGCCCGAGCGCCCGGAGCCAGCGCCGCCTGCAGGTCGCGGTCGTCCACTGGCATGCTGCGACGGTGTACCGTGGGCGCCGCGCCCCAGGGGGTGCTGCCTCGACGGCGCTCGCGCTCCCTGCCAGCGCCACGGCTCCCGCCTGCCCCACTGCAGCCGCCGTTCAGAGTCATTGTGTGGGATATGCCGTCTGAGGGACCAGAACCAGGATGGCCACATAAGTCAAAGTGGGGAGGGACCGGACCGAAACCTACTCCCAGACAAGGTATTTGCACAGTGATCTGTGCCCCAATGGGGCCCGGCCCATCCATCCGCAGCCCAGACGGTGCGGCCCACCCTTCTCTCCCGGAACACTCACCCACTCGCACACAGATTCCTTCAGGACCAGGACCTGGACTCCGATATGGCCCACGGGGGGCTCAGATACAACCCACTGGCAGATCTGGGTTCAGACAGTCGGACCCTCGCTGCTACTGCAACTGCCACCTTCCTTCTCTTCAGCCTCCTCGGTGGGCTCTGGGTCTGGGCTCCAGAGCCGTTTATTTAAACCTTCCGCCCGCCTCCGTCTCCGTCCCCGCCCCCCTCCCCGGTCCAACTTCATGGTCGCAGAGCGCAGAGATTGAGTGTAAGAAGGGGGAGGGGAAGAGGAGGAGAGGGAGTGTGATGTTGGGAGGGGTAGGCTTGAAGGGAAGGCAGGCAGTGGGTAAACTGGACCAGTCAAATGCAACTTCCCTCTGGGGAATTAGATCTGGCTCTTTAAGAGCGAATTCTCTCTCCCAGTCCTGGCCTCTCGCTCAGCAAGTAAACTGGTTGTGTACTGGACAGAGTTTCACCCTTCAAAGGCCTATGACACCCACTTCCTACAGGCCCAGATCCCAGCTAGAATTTAGGGGTTGTAAATTGGCATTTGCAGCCTCAACACCAAGTCCTGCTCACTCCCCTCTCTGTCACGGGAGTTGAAGATTCTCCCTAGTGAAGTTGCTCTTCAGGTGAGGGTTGAGGTCACCTATAAACCCCTGAGGGCCATCAGCGGGCTGCTGAGGAGAGGTCTTGAATACAGAGGAGGAAACACAGGCCCAGAGAAGAGAAAAGATGAACTCAGTCCACACCCCACCTCCCAGTACCCTCCAGCAGCTGCCAGCAACCCTGCTAAAAATATCTGCCCCTGGCCTGGCCCTGGTCATTCTGCTCTTGGGCTGGAGGTTGCCCAGAGTTGGGGAATCCAGGCAACCCGTGTGGGGTGCCAGCAGGAGCCAGTCACTTTAGTCTGCAAACTTTCCTCACTCCCCAGTCCTGAACTGAGCCTACTGTCCAGCCTACATCTCATCCAGAGGGACATAAATACAGCATGGTCAAGAGTGTCTTAGGGCCCGCGATTTAGCTTGGTGGTTCCGCCGCCTGCCTTGCAAGCACAAGGACCTGAGTTTGATCCCGGCACACCCCCCAAAAAAAGAGTGTCTTAGCCACCACTGGTGCCATGCCCTTCAGACCTAATGTGGGGTTGGAGGGCATGAAGGGAAGGGGAGGTAATGAGGAGACTTGGTATCTAGTCCCGGCTCTGCCTCCAGCCTACTGAGTCTTGTCTTTCTCCCACCCTCAGGGTGCTGAGCTATAAATTGGGCATCATGATCTCCTATTCCCTCCTTACTCATCTTTGGGGTGTGTGAGAATTGGGAGGGGAGAGGCTGTGGAATACTCTGCAAAAGAGACTTGCTATCAGACTCTGCTGTTTGACTGTGATGAGAGTAGTAGGGGTGGGAAGACATACATTTGGTGCTCAGGTGACATCAGATGGATGGACCCTAGTGGGCTGTTGCAGGTTGTCATGGAAACCTGGGCCAGATTCTCGCTGCTCTGTTAGTTTCCTTGGCAACACCTAAGAAGACCTTGAATTGAAGAGGGCCTAGCTAGGTAAGGTTAGGGAGTTTATGCAGGGCAGCTCATACTGGCCTTGGCTTCCTGGATGAGGGCTAGCAGTGAGAGGAAGGCATGGGCTCAGCTCCTATCAGGACTGAAGTCTCAAAAAACCAGCATACCACTTTCAATCGGTAATCCAGGCTGGCTATTTATACTAACACCCCACCCCCACCTCCCTGTCTCAACACACACACTGTGTTCTGGAAAGAGACTGTAAATGTCTAGCAAAATGTCTGGTGGTGTGTTTGGGGGTAGGCTGTGGCTCTTCCCAGCAAGGGGCCGCATTGGGGGAAGCAGGGCTGGTTTTCCCCTCTAGTAATCTGAGCTCTTGACCTCAGCAGTGTGTCTTCATTGCCAGGGGAACTGCTCCACACAGAGCTACTCAGACCCCAGGAATTCTGGTGGCTGTCTCAACAGGTCAGTGACACTCATCACAAGCCTAGGTATGGCCAGGAACCCCAGGATCTAACATTTGGACATGACCTTGAGGCTCTCCTCTCTCACTCCTCCTGGCTCACTTGGCTGAACTTGGCTGTCCAGAAGGAAAAAACTGAGACTGGAACCAGGCCAAGGACCCTCTGTCCTTTTCTAGCTGTGTTTCACCCCTGTCCATTTATCCTGGTTGAAGCCATTTTGTCTTGTGGAGACCAGGGATAATGTCTTCTTGGGGGTTGTTGGGAATAAATAACATGAAATTCAGAGGTAAAATAGTTGGCTCCAGTCCGGTACATGGTGATATTTCAGCAAGAATACTTCAATTATCATCACCCTTGATTGCATGGGGCAGACTGAGTGATTCTAGAGGCTCTCTCTTGCTTCTGGTCCATTCTCTCCAGGATAGTAGTTTGTCCAGGAAAGGGAAGAGATTGTGGGAATAATGCAGATAATTCTCTCCTGTCCCCCTTACCCCTCTCTCCTCTGTGGGACCCCATAATGTCTTCTTCCTCCCTCAGGTTACAAAATGCTGCAGAAGGAATTTATTTGGGCTTCTGCGTCCCTGCCCTTTCTTACACCACAGCCCTTAAGTCCCAAGGCTTCTGCTCTGTTTTAAGGTTCAGTTCCTCCCTTCCTCGCTTCCTTCCACTGACTTATACTGAGCACCTACTGTGTGCCCAGTCCTTGTGTTGGGGGTAGGATGATGAGTGAAAATAGACATAGATAGGCACATTCATATGTACCATCTAATCCCTGGGTCAATTTTTTCAGCTATGATTTGTTGTTCCCATTTTGTAGACATGGTAACCAAAGCCTGACAGGTCATGGTTAGAAACAGCAGAGATAGATATACCTGATGAGAATTTCAGAGACCTTAAGCTTCATCACCTCCCTGTACCCGTGTCCTCACACAGCAGCTGGGGTTCCAGAAAGTTCCTTGGGTGCTGGCCCAGTGTGCACAGATGGTGTCCTGCAGACCACCCGGGGCCAGGCACAGATGAGTCAAGACTGTCAAGGGGACGATTTGAAATGCCAGTTGTGGCATGAGCAGGCTGGTATCCCTTACCCACTGTGGCCTGACTGTCAGGAGGGCCAGAGGAATGACTCAGAAACACCTGTCTCCCTCATGAACCCCACCCCCAGCTGGAAACAGACACCACAGCCACTTTACACAAATAGGGTCTGTGTCAGGGCAGATGTTCACATGTGGTGAGGCCTACAGGGTGGGAAGGCTCCCTAGGCCCAATTATCCTGGTTAGTCACCTGCCTCTCTGGAGCACTCAGCTCCTTTATCTGTGGAAATGGAGGATCTAATGACTGGACAGTCATTGAGATATGCCTGGCAAGGCATTTTATATCTCCACACACAGCAGTCTCAAGGGATTGCCACATCACAGATGAAGAAACTTGTAGAGACGTGAGCTGATGTATACAACTTTCTCATCTTGAGCAGCTACATTCAGAGCCTCCTCTTGGTCATTAGGTGGCAAAGCCACTCCTAAGAGCAAGTTGTGAAGACATCAGGTGTTTGGGTCTGGGGTGGGCCTAGGTCCCTATATGGAGGCAACAGTCACCCCTGCCAGAAAGCACCTGTCAGGCTACTCAGATTCCTTTTTATTTCCTAGCTGGAAATACAAGGAAACTATTTATTCTAGAAGTCGGTTTTCTCACCTGCAAATTAAGGATAAGAAAGAAAAGCAACTGCCATGGAAAATGATCAACTACACAGTAGGTATAAAGCCCTCAGCCCAGTGCACTCTCTAGACAGGCTTTGTTGTCAGTGAGCCCTCAAGAACAAATTGGCAGGGGCCCAGGCTCTTGGTTGAGGTTTCTTGTGGTCTCAGCCCACAGTCACATCTGAGCTCTGGCTGGGATGGAGTGTTCCTATTTGTCCTCAGAGAAAGAGACTGAGGCACGGAATCCTGAGAGCTTCAGAAAAGAGCTCCTAAATAGCTGAGCCAAGATCCATGCCCCAGATCTCTCTGGGTGACCAAGTGCACTTTGTGCAGAGCTACAAGGAGGCAGAAACCCCAGAACTACCATCATTTTGTGGAGTTGAGCTTTTGCTATCAGTACTTGAGGTGACATTCACCTCTGGGGGATGGACAGAGAAGCTTCTTCAGGATCCTTTTAGTACAAAATGCTTTAGCAGTGCCTTGACCTGGAGACCAGACTGGGGGACCGGCTTGTTCTGCATCACCACCACCGGGATAAGCTGGCATCACAATGTGTTGGTGGGTGTTATGGGATACATGACCCTGGGTAAAAGTCCTTCCCAAACTTGAACTCATTCAGCTTTCAGACCAATCTTTACTTTATAGGAAACAGTACACAATAAAATAAATCAAGTTGTAAGGCTTCTCCAGGACAGCTTGGCTGGCTTTTTCAAAATCAGTGTCAAGAAATACAAAGGTGGCACATGCCTGTAATCCTGGCATGCAGGAGGCTAAGGCAGGACGATCACAAGTTCATGTGCATAGTGAGACCATCCCGAATTAGTGAGATCCTACCTCAGACAATCAAAAATCAAAATCAAAACAAAGGTGGATATTATAGGTTGGATCTGAAAATGTTCCCAAAAGGCCCTTGTGCTAAAAGTCTGTTCTCAGAATGGCACTACTGGGAGGTGGAACCTTTAAGAGCTGGGGCCTAGTAGGAGGTCTTCCTTCAGGTTGTTGAAAGCTTGCTGTTCAAGGGTAAAAGTACCCCAGTCCTTTTTCTTATTCTTTTGTTTCCTGGCCATGAGGTGAGTGGATTTACTCTATCACGTCTTCCCCATCATGTCACAAGCCACAGGCCCAAAGATAATGGGGTCAATCATGGACTGAAACCTTTAAAACTGTGAGCCAAAATAAACCTGTTCTCTAAGTTGATTATCTATTTGATATAGTGAGGAAAAGCCGAGAGACAACTGTAGAAGAGGATAAAGAGAGACAACAACCAAAGACAATACATAATAAGTCTTGAGTGGAGTCTGATTTAAAAACAAACAAACAATGGATGCCATTTGGGGGAAATTCATATATGACTGGATATAAGAGTTGAGGAATTACTAATTTTTTGGCCAGGTAAAAGTACTGTGGCTTTACTGACTTATCTAATACTGACGAAGGACATAATACTTGAAAGTGAAGGGTCATGTCTCTGCAGATTACTCTCCGATATACAGTATTTATATTTATATACACACGTAAATAAGGCTGGCGTTTAAACAGGTCAACTGCTATTAAATGTAGTGGTGGCATTACTGGGTATAGAGATATATTCATGTATTACTCTGAATACTTTTTGTATACTTGCAACTTTCCCTAATCAAAATACTGGGAGAAAATTTAAAAAGTACTGAAACTACAACATACCAATCAATCCTGTATACCACTACCACTATCCTTTGCCAGATGAAAGATGCTACGACATACCAGGAAATGAATATAAATTAAGGGTTTATTACAAAAAAAGCAAAATGTTAGTTCCTCATTATCAGTGATTTAAGAAAACAAAGCCATGAGTCCCGGGTGAAGGTGAGGTTAGGACACTGGTGCATGATGAAGGTCAAATCCAGGCTCAGGAGCGGGCTGACAGGCACTGATTCACAACCTCCAGCAGGTGGGTGTTCTCCAAGGCAGCTGCCACTCGCTCTTTATCTGCAAGCTGTTTGTTCACTAAGTGGGAAGGAAGAGTATGAAAGAAAGAATCAAAGCCAGGCTCTGGCTAGGCTGTTAGCCAGCGCCATTTCTAAGTCTTAGTATAGTATGTCCTACCAATAAGGGTTCCTATCCAGGGAAGCCCCAACCTTTGATTAGCCTGAGTCGCCTGAGTCCCTATCCTGCATTTTTTTTTTTTTTTAAACTAGGGCTCGAACGCTGGCCCTTGCACTTGCAAGGCAGGCAGCAGAACCACTGAGCCAAATCCCCGGCCTTCTCCTGCCTTCTTAGGACCCCTTCCCACCTGGCTGCTCATGTCTGCTTCCAGTATTGCTGAAGCCTGACACACTGGTCCTGTGTAATTGGGGAGTGAAAGAAGGGAGTACATGGAAGGTAGAAGACTTGGGTTAGGCCACCTTTGGTCTGGGCTACCACCTTCACTGAAGTGTTTCTGGCAATTTCACCAAGTGGGAATCCCCAACCCCAATCCTGTCTTACAAGCTACTGTAGCTAAAGGGAAGACTCAGACAATTTAAGACCTCAGGGCATTACCAATGCCATCAGTTCACAAACTTACCCGCATGCTCCGAGGCATGGGTCCCTGGTGTAATGTGCACATCCATCTGGGAGGGAGATAATCTGAGCCTGAGCAACCACCCACCTTTTTGCCCCCTCCCCCAGACCCTAGGGCACCTTCTCCAATGACCCCTCCATGTAATCATACCTCTGGACTCTAGCTCTTCCATTACACCCCAAATCCAAATCACAGGCCATCCCTGTCTCAAATTAATCTACAACTTCTACTTCCCTTCTTGCCACACTCACTACTTTTCTGTACTTTCCAGCTCATATCTTTATTCTTGTCACATCAACTTGGAAAGTTTCCTCCGTTTCATTTCTGCTAGTTGCAGTCCTTCCAGACCCCATTCTGATGTTCTTGCTCTCACTGTCCTGTTATACTATCAGACCCTTACACTAGTTTTACCCTTGGGGCTCAACTCCAACTGACCTTGAAACGCTGGGGAAGGGAGCGCAGAAGCTTGACTTTGATGGATAGGCCAATAAGAGTAGCCATGCTGCAGTGTGGAATGGTGGGTGTAAAGGCCACAGCCACTGTGCTGTCTGGGTCACTAACCTGGTGGTGGTGAGGAAGAGATGTCAGGGACGATGGATACCTCCAACCCTGAGGGTCTCTTGGTTTGTTGTTTGGGCAAAGTCGTCTAGCTCTTAGGGGCTTCAGTTTCAACATCCATAAAATGGGCACAAGAGTCCTCCCTCCAAAGATTCCCCCTAGGTGTCTGTGACTGAAAAAATGCCAGTCCCTCATGTATAGTAGAGTCCTACTGGGAGTAACTCACCTGAACCCTAACTTGCTCTACTACATTCAATTCCTCTAACGTCAGTGGATGCTCCGGGTCATTGATGGAGCGAATAAGATGTAGTATCAAGTGAAGGAAAAAGGACTTTACGTTTTTCCCTACTCAGAACCCTTGACCAGGAATGCCTGACTGGGACACTCTTCCACCAACTGCTGAACATCACAACTCCTTCCCAAAGACCCACAAACCCGCCCAGCAGTGGCGGATATCGAAGATCTCGCGTGCGTCGATGCTGTCTGCAACCTGCTCGTCTTCCTCGCCCGCTGTCACAGGCCGCTCCACGGAACGCTCGTAGATGAGCGGGTTCGCGTTCTCTAGAAGGCCACCACCGCCGCCACCGCCACCTCCACCACTTCCACCACCTCCACGTCCGCCGACGCCTACCATTCCGGAACAACTGTGGACTTCAATTTGCATACACTTCCGCTCCAACCCCCAACCTTCCTGGGAACAGGAAGAGGTGTGGCCTAGCTACGGAATCGCTCGAGGGACATATGGCACTGTCACTATTCAGGTGGGAATTTGATAGAATGAGTGGATTTGGCGTGCAGAGTAACTCGCATTCAGGAAAATGAGAAGGAACCCCCGCGACGCTAGGCCGTATAAGCCCATTGGGAAATGGGCTGCAGAGTCCATGGCCAGTTGTCCTAGGGAACTAAGAACAGTTTGAGATTAAGCCCCACACCCCGCTCTTCCGGACGGGCTGGTGCTCAGGTGCCTACTCTGGCTTCCCTCTATCCCAGCAAGGTTCTCCGTAATTCCGAATCACCGTGACTTACTGCTCCTCCCCGCTAGAACCATCGGTCCGGGAATTCCTGCCAGGAGCAAGATTTGGGACCCAGGAGGTAAACTTATTAGATATTTGTTAGGTGGATAAGTGACTGTGAGGTCAACCTCGATTGGAAAGGACAGCGAAACTCTTCCCTGCCCCCTCTAGGGTGAGGCACTAAGAAATGCCACATTCACTTGTGCATTTCAAAAGTGGGGCAGAGACTGAGTAGGGAAGGATCTTCACTCACTCTTAGACCTTAGACAATGAGGACGGACCTGTAAAGCGGAACCCAGTAAAAACTGAGTCTTGATTCCCGAGTTCCAGTCCAGAAGGCGAGGAGAAGGTTGGTCAGGATGAAGGGCACTGTCTCCCTGCCTTTGTTCAAGCCCTTCTATTCTTCCAAATCGAAATTCCATTCCCTTCTCGGTCTTTGGGGAATCCTCATCCCACACTTCCTCAGGCAGCACTCCTGAGTTCTCCAGTTACAGCTTCTTGCTCCCTCCTCTTGACCCTCAGCACTCTCCCATTCTGTGATTGCAAAGACAATAGGCATAGAGACTTCAGTTTTGAAAAGAGGATTTCGTGGTATCTCACAAGGCCTGCAGAAGACAAGAGATACCTTCGAGGAGGTCAAAGACAGTTGGAGAGAGGCAAGATGGCCTAGACCTCTGTATGCCTCACATGCATTATTCTCCAACACCCAACTTGCCCTGCCTACTCCCTGCCAGGTTCAAAGTCCAGCCAGAGGCAGACCTTGATCCCCAGCTTCCAGTTGAGGAAACACAGCTCGCTCCATAGCAGAAGAGAAACTGGCCTATGAACAGCCATGCAGGTGAATCAGCTTCCTTTCCAGCTGAATTCTGTGGTCTGTGGGCTCCTGCTTCTCATTGACTGTGGCCAGGGTGAGATTCCTGCAGCAGGCGGTAAGGACTGGAGTCTTATGTGAACACTGTGCAGAGGTAGAGCCTGAGAGTATGAAAGGGACGTTCCAGGGAGGGAAGAACTGGTAGAGGTGACGGATTGTAGTGTGGGAATCCTGAGCCCACTGAACACCCCTAAGCCTGGTAGGTGCCCAGAGTGGGCTCTGGAAGAACACAAAGGATTAGAGCTAAGGACATTCAACACTTTGGAGGAAGGCCAATATGAGGGGCTATGAGGAGCACTGGAAAAGCAGGTCAGAATCCTCCAGGCAGAGAGCTGGGCTATTGCACATTTCAGCCCTGTGTGTGTCTCTGTAGCTGTAGCTGATCCTCGCCTTCAGGTGTACAATGACAGTAATAGCTTCCTGCTGCCATTTGGTTCTGAGTGTGATAGCCTCCTAGCCTGAAAAGTACCTTAGCATTCCCCAAGGTGCCTCAGGCAGGGAATAGGACTTCGGAGACACAGATGCCCCTGACCACCATATATCAAGGCTGAACTGAGAGGCCACTGGGTCTCTTCGCCCCCTATACCCAACCTGGGGCAAAGGCATGGGTTAGCTTATGGTTCAAAGGTGATGAGGTCTGTGGCAGCCAAACAGTCTTAGGAACCTTATCAGGAGCTGATGCCAGGAGGGCTCTGTGCACAGTGTGTGACCGCAGCCTTTGACTCTCTCACTCAAAGGCTCTAATGTGGGACCTGATGATTTCCCTCATACTTCCCTAGTCCAGTATACCTAGGAAGGAGTCACCACTCATCCCACTACCCGGGCACACCCTGCTAGACTTCCTTCCTTACCTGCTAATAACCATGCAGTGGTATTATGAGAAAAGAGTGTGACAACCAGGATGCGTGTGAAGCCAGGGATTTCAGATCAGGGCCCCTTAACAAGGCAAGGAGATGGCAGTAATCACAGTGTGGGAGGCAGCTCATTGGGGAGACAACACTCTGATGTGCATTTCTCTGCCCACAGCCCAAGACTCTGCCAGCCCCATCCGGACCACAAACATAGGGCAGGTGCGGGGCAGCCTTGTCCATGTGAAGGGCAGCGACACAGGGATCCACACCTTCCTGGGAATTCCCTTTGCCAAGCCACCTATAGGACCACTGCGGTTTGCACCCCCTGAAGCACCTGAGCCCTGGAGTGGAGTGAGGGATGGAACATCTTATCCTGCTATGTAAGCTCTCTGTGGAGCTGGGGAAATTCAGGCCCTAGGGAAGGGTGAGTGCCTGAGCTCAGGGTCAGGCTCCAGTGGTTCTGCCATCTAAGTCCTGCAGCCAGTTTTCCTCTGAGTGGGGGAATTCCCACTATGAGCATGATCGGCTGCAGAGGGTAGAGGAACTATGTTAGACTGTTGGCTCAGGCCTTGGCAGCCTAAAGGTATTATTAGTACTAGGTGCCCAAGAGAAGGACAGAGACACATTTCTTTCTAGCTTTGGGGAGATCTCTGGAAGAGATCAGGTTAATCTGTGAATCTTGTAAGAACCTCTGATCCAGCAGGAGATATTGCAGATCTCTCAGGAGGACAGTACTGGTAACATTTTAGAGACTACCCTCTATAGTCACTGGGCCAACTGACAGATCTGGTGCCCGGTCTGGTTCTGACCAGAACAAGCCTTGGAATACCTGTCTGCCATTGTCACCAGGTGTCTGCAAGATGCTGATAAAATGAAGATGTTTAATATGACCATTCCTTCTGTCCCTTTATCCGAGGACTGCCTGTACCTCAACATCTATACACCTGCCCATGTTCATGAGGGGTCTCGCCTGCCTGTAAGTGTCAAGCCACGGTCCGCTTGGGTATGGGAGGACATTTGTTTTCCAAGATTAGAAGGTGTCCAAAGATGTGGTTTAATGATAGACATTTGCCTATCAAGCACAGTTTTAAGTTCAAGCCCAAGCACTACAAAATCAAACAAAAGTGAAAGAGAATGAGATTAGAATGGACATGGTCAGCCTGATTCTGTTGCAGTGTGGATCCTTCCATTAAACCTCTTGCTATGGAAACCAAGAAGAGCTTCTGAGACAGGATGGGTAACTGACCCCTAGGCACAAAGTTACAGAGCCCTTACTGGTACCAGAGACCAGAGCTCTTTTGAAATCACTGATGATCCCAGCTGTGGTTTATCTGTTGTGCCAATGAAATAACATTTTTATTACTCTTTTGTTGGGACCATGTCAGAAACTCCCACTTCCTTTTTTTCCACTGTCAAGGGGTCAGACAGTAATAGACCCAGGCTTGGATTCATGGGGTTAACCCAAAGGTGAGTGTCCTGATCTACAAGATTGAATTTAAGTCTGTCACACATGTCTCAGGTATGTGATCTTACTGGAGTCCTATGTGATGGGTACATACACCCTAAGCAGTGGATAGTGTATGAGGAGGCCAGGTGGTGTTTGGGCTGGGCTGAAGCCACATGGCATCTGTCTTGATTTCCGCAGGTGATGGTATGGATCCACGGTGGGGGGCTAGTTTTAGGCTCGGCTTCCACGTATGATGGATCCATTCTGGCAGCGTCTGAGAACGTGGTGGTGGTCACTATCCAGTACCGCCTGGGTGTCCTGGGCTTCTTCAGGTCAGTCTGTGGCTGGACTGGGAAATAAGGCTGAGCGGAGCCAGGATAGGCTTGTGATCCTTGTCCTTGTCACTTCTCAGCACTGGAGACCAGCATGCCACTGGCAACTGGGGCTACCTGGACCAAGTGGCTGCCCTACGATGGGTTCAAAAGAATATCATTCACTTCGGAGGCAACCCTGACCGGGTCACCATTTTTGGGGAGTCTGCAGGTGGTGTAAGCGTGTCATCACTTGTGTTGTCCCCCATGACTCGCGGACTCTTCCATGGTGCCATCATGGAGAGTGGGGTGGCCCTCCTGCCCGATCTCATCTCCAGCTCATCTGAGACCGTCTACACAGTGAGTACCCTCAACTACCCCTGCCCAGCACCCCCTTTCTTCCCTCACCTTTAGAGCCTCTGTAGCATTGTCATTCAGTGGGGACAATGATGGCAGTTGAGGTGTCTTGGAAACTGCTGCCTTTCTAAGAATTGCTGAGGTTCTGAAGGGTGACAGTCCATACACCTTGGCCTTTAAGAAGCTGAGTATGTTCCGTGGGCAGCAAGGATAACTCATGGGGCTCCCACTGTGGGTAGAGCCATGGAAACAAATAGCCCCTCTAGCTGAGACTTCTGAGCATCAGGGAAGATAGAAGAATTTCATGCTGACAGCAATTCCTACAGGAAATCCTGTAAAATTGGGGCTTTACCTGTTTCCAACTGGGTCCTCTTCCTGTTTGGAAGATGAGCAAGTTCCTGCCTGAACTAATTTCAGATGGTGGGCACCCTGTCTGGCTGTGGACAGATTGACTCAGAAGCCATGGTGAGATGCCTACGTGGCAAGAGTGAAGAGGAGATTGTGGCTATTACAAAGGTTGGCTGTTCTCAGGAGTGGCTGAAGGGGTGAAATTGTCTGAGAGTGAGTGCCTCTTACTCTGCCTGATAACCTCATCCTCATCTGTCACTGTCCATGCACATCTGGTTGGGAAATGTGCACAAAGATTTGCTATGACAAGGCGTAGCATTCATGAGGTGGATGTGCGCATCCTGGGATGAGTTACGGGGGACTGGAAGTAAGCCACTGGGCATTAGGAAATATCTGAGACCTGACCTCGATCCCTGATATGAATGCCCTCTTAGTCCTTCAAGATCATCCCTGCTGTAGTGGATGGGGCCTTCCTGCCCAGGCACCCCCAGGAGCTGCTGGCCTCTGCTGACTTTCACCCTGTCCCCAGCATCATTGGTATCAACAGTGATGAGTATGGCTGGGTTGTCCCAATGGTAAGTCCCAGTCCCAGGAATTTGGTGTGTACATTTTGTTTTTAGGGGTCCTCTGGGTTATTATACAGGTACAGGCAGATCCCACTCTCAACTCTATATGAACATTCCTCCCCTGTTCAGAGTCTCGGCTCTGCTGATACCAAGAAGGAAATGAACAGAGAGATTCTGCGGACTGTTCTGCAGAGCATGTCAGCACAGATGGTGAGGCTCCTATGTTTCTATCCCAAGGATATGGCACCCCCAGATCTTTGCCCATGCAGTTATCCTATCAAACAAAAGCTGAACTGTGTATTTGGTTGTAGGTGGTGGTCACCCTGTTACAATCCCAAGTCCATGGCCCATCAGCTGTTTTCCCACCCTAAGCTCCTTCCTACACCCATAAAACTGCCTAACTTAACTCTCCACAATCTGCCCTAAGTAGACATTGCCAGCTGAATTCGTTGACCTGTTGATGGAGGAATACTTTGGGGACATTGAGGAACCCCAGGCCCTTAAAATCCAATTCCATGAGATGATGGGGGATTTTACGTTCGTGATTCCTGCACTCCAAGTAGCACATTTTCACCGTGAGTACATCTATAGCTGAGGCCTGACAGCTGAGGCAGTAGCTCAGAGCTGTGAGTCTCAGGTGAAGTCTGTAGAGTCCAGGTCTGGTCCTACATCTTTATTGAGGCTCTGGTTCCAGGCACTTGATGTCCTTCATCTCAGTTAATCTTCGTGGTTAAATCTCAATAAAAAAGTGTAATTCTAGAGGGCCACAATTCCTGACATCAAAATATACAACAAAACCATAGTAACAAAAACATCATGATAGTAATGCAACATAGATATGTAGTCCAATGGAATAGAATAGGAAATACCATAAGAAACATAAACAACTATATCAATGTGATTCTTTGGAAAGGTACCAAAAATATATGTTTTAGCATGTGGTGCTGGGCAAACAGGATATATGTGTGTAAAAGTCTGATACTAGATCTTTTAATTCCAGTACTGTGGAGGCTGAAGGAGGAGGATTGGGAATTTCAGCCTGAGTTGGTCAACTTAGTGAATTAGTCAGACCATGTCTCAAATCAGAAGTAAAAAATGAGGGCCAGGGATTTAGCTCCCTGAGTTTGAACCCCAGTATCAAAGAAGCCAAAAAAAAAAAAAAAAAAAAAAAAAAAAAATTGGCTGGTACTGTAGCTCAGTGAAGGCCCTGGATTCAATTCTAAGTATTAAGAAAGAAAAAATACCATTTCTGTCCTTAGGAATACAAAATCCAATAAATGTTGATGAAAATTAAGGATATAGGTAAATAAAAAGCTTTCTTCACTATTGATGGAAATAAAATTTATGTAGCCATATGGAAAGCATTGAGGACTTCCTCCAAAAACTAAAACTAGAGCTGCCACTTGATCTAAGTGGTATTTGAGAGTATACAACTCTCAATATATTCTGAAAGAATTAAAGTGAGCATACTGTAGAGATACCAGCCTAGCCATATTTATTACACTATAATTTGTAATAGCTGAGCTGTTGTGATGTAGCCTATGTGCCAACAACAGATGATGGATAAAGAAAGTGTGTATGTGCAATAGAATATGATTCAGCCATAAAGTAGAATGAACTCACATCATTTGAAAGAAAATGGGTGGGACTGGAGATCATTATGTTAAATGAAGCTAGCCATGCACAGAGTGTCATGTTTCACATCTTTCCTACATAAGGGAAATGTGGAGAAGAAGGAGAAATGACATAAAATAAGGCAGACCAGTAATAGAGAAGAGGAAGGGAATCAGGGAAAGCAGGAAGAAAGTGAGAAGGTAGAAATGCGGGGAGAATGATCACAATATATTATATGCATGTACAAATATGCCAAAATGAAGCCCATTAGTTGGTTTACCTAATATACTCTAAAAGTTGTTTTCCTACCTGATGTAACAGAAATATCTTTCTCATTATATAAGTGGAGAAATTGAGGAGAATGACCCTCAGAGTCGCCCAAACTACTCAACTGGCAAATCCAAGGTCATGATTTATTGAAGGACTTGCCCATTGTCCCTGCTACAACCTAGGACTCCTCACCACACTGTTCAGATTCCAGCCAACTTTGGACTTAGATGCTTTGTCCCCAAGGCTGAGGCAGGAGAGCTCCAGGTAAGGGGTCACCAAGTCACAGCTGTCCACATCCCCAGGTTCCCATGGCACTGTCTACTTCTATGAATTCCAGCATCCTCCCAACTTCCTCAAAAACAGCAGGCCACCCTACATGAAGGCTGACCATGGCGATGAAGTTTCCTTTGTCTTTGGATTCTTCTTGTGGAGCAACCATGGTGAGTCTCCTCCACATCCAGGAGTAGGGATGGGGCTCTGGCCGGGTCCCTGAGTTGTGACTTCATCCTCAGTCCAGACGAAGAAGTTGAGATCCAGAGAGAGGACCGGATCAGTGTCCACTGTCTTATACTTCAGGAGACTGCACTAGGATTAGAATCCAAGACCTTGCACTCCACCAAGTGCTGTCATCCTGACCATTTTCTTTAGCATGGGTGAAAAGGGAAGGAGGGACTGTCTCAAAGGCATATTTATTTATTTAATAAGTTACCAGGGTCAAATGTACAGGGAATGACAAAGATGATTTCACCATAGACCCCAGCAGTGAGTTCTGGTCTTCTGTGAGCCACAACAACATAAAACTGATTAAAGTATAAAAACAGGAAGGGGCTGGGGATTTTGCTCATGGCACCACTGCCTGCCTTGCAAGTACAAGGTCCCGAGTTCAATCCCTAGTACCAAAAGAAACAAAATAAAACAATAAAGACATGAAACAAGACTTAGAGAAAAAGCTGGGTCTTGCCACCAATCCATGCTGCTCTAGGCAGCAAAGACCAAAGCCTTCAAGTGCATTCAGTATTTATTGAACACTGCCTAGGAAAGAATAGGGAGCAGGGTATGCTTTGAAGGCATGTAGTGAAATACTGCAGAATACCTGGCATGATGGCACCAGGCAGGGCTGTAAAGAAGAAACGCTGCTTATCTTGCTTGTATAGAACAAACAAGTACTGGCACCTGGTGGAATTAGCAAGCAAGCTATTGGGTCAATGAGAAGCCATAATTTCAGAGAAAGGATTTTAATTGGGTCACACTGATCTGAGCTACGTGTAACTAACTCAACAGAGCCCTGCCACTTCACAGACCTTAGATCTCAGTGGCAGCCACTGGGGGAGGGGCTGGACTCACCCAGTCCACCATCTGACATGCTCATTTGAGTCATGAAGGGAAAGCAAGAAGCATGTGCCACTTATGGCCTGTTAGTATTGGACAGGGATGTCTGCTACACAGATGAACGGACCTTCTCTGCCAGCACTGAGTCCAAGGTCAATTCAACTAGAGACTGAGATGGGAAAGACTGTAAATGGAAGGCCTTGCTCTAGGGTAAGTGGTGAAATAGGGGACTAGACCTGGTGTCTAGGATCAGGCTATAGCTGAGTAATGAGATTGTTATATGAATGGGCAGGAGGATGGGTGGGTATAAGTCTAAGACCTGGGCCTTTATCCTCCTTCTCTCTGCAGTTCACTTCACTGAGGAGGAGAAACTACTAACTAGAAGGATGATGAAATATTGGGCCAACTTTGCACGAAATGGGTGAGATGATGCTCACCTACCTCAGTCATTCTAGGGTGTGTGAATCCATCAGGTGCACCACTTATCTGTGGGGACTTTGATAGAACATGTGCATTCTTAAAACACATGTTAACTCAACAGCATGATCAAGAATTGTATGAACACAGAGCAGAGTATAGGTCACTCATCCCCTCCCAGTGACCTGCAGGGTGGGCCATAGTGCTGTAGTTCAGTCACATCCTGCCTCTAAGAGGGAGGCACAAAACAGGACCAGTAGCCCTGTCTCACTTGGAGCGGACACTAGTGGGATGGCTTTGTTGTGTGTATCATGAGTTCTCCTTATTTCAACACTTGCTAGGTTAGCTGTAGGTCCTGAGGCAAAAGGCACTTGGGCTGAGATTCAACAGGGCTCAGACTGACCTCTCACCCCGTGTTGGGAGGGTATCTTCACAGGAACCCCAATGGCCAAGGCCTTCCCCACTGGCCTGCATTGGACCATGAGGAGCTGTACCTGCAGCTGGACATCGAGCCTACTGTGGGCCGTGCCTTAAAGGCCCCCAGGCTGAAGTTCTGGACAGAGACTCTGCCTCAGAAGATCCAGGAGCTAAAGAGGGCTGAGGAGAAGCATGCAGAGCTGTAGTGCTCTGTGAGGAGGAGGGAGGTGGGTGTGAGTGCAGGTGGGGTCTGCCTGTGGTGACCACACCCACAGCGCCATTTATCCACTCTTCATCTATTCATTCAGTGCTCAGTAATGAAGAATCTATTGCATAATGTTCATTGCCAAACCTGACTTGTGTCCCATCTTTTTAGACACTTATTACATCCCCAGGGTCATGGCTTGTATCTAGGTATCTCTCCAAAGTCTCATGTAGTCTTAGGTGGGGCTTTCCAGAGGTGACTGAATGTAAGGTATGTGATGCTGGGATTAAGTATGTGAATCTGGGATTGATTCATGATGTGATGATAGGATTAAGGGTATCCCATCCTGTGTGTGACTGCTACTTCCCCTCAGGGTGTGTAGCCTGGATAGAATGTAAGGGACAGAAAAAAGGCTTGTTACTGCTACTTGTCAGTTGCTGCTTCTATGCAGCTTTTTTTGCCTTCTTCCTGCCATGAACTGTTTCTCCTCTGTGATGCCCTTTTGCAGTTCCACCCTGCCTTGCAGCTAGCCATCTATGGGCTAAATCCTCTACAAAATTCTCCTTTAACTTTGGGTGTTGGGTATTTTTTGTCAGTAATAGGAAAAGTATCTAAGACACCCAGGGAGCTGTCGATGGGTAAGTCCTATTGGACACCCACTTCCCTCAAGACCACACTGGATCTGGACCCCTTTTCCTTTCTTTGCTATATCTTCATGCCTCCACTCTTTGTCCTCCTAGCCCCTACTCTTGCTTGAAATGAAAATGATGCCATGGAGAATGTTACCCACACCTGGGTGTCAAAATTCTTTTCACCTCTCAATGATTGCATCTATGCTCATATCCAAATAGGCCAACAGAAACCAGATTACATGAACTTATGCTCTTTGCATGTTCATTCTGCTGCAAAAGTATTATAAACTGGATACTTATAAATAACAGAAATTTACTTATAGCTCAGGATACTAAAAAGACCAGCATCCAAGTGCTGGCAAATTTTATGTGTAGTGAGGGCTTGTTCTCTGGCCCAGAGATGGCATCTTCTCATTGTTATCATGCTTGGTAGAAGGACAAACAGTAGCCCTTACAACCTTATCACCTCTTAAGGGATCCACCACTTTGATCATCAAATTATAAATTAGCTTTCACCTTGATGAGAATGGTGGGGCACAAGGTTGAAAGAGCATACCTCCTAGAGCTCCCCATAGCAGCCACCAAGCTTGCCAACTACTGAAAATGTCTCTACCTATTGTCCACCTATATTAAATGACATCTATCACATACTTTTCAAACAACTCATCCACTCATCTGTTTCTGTCCAGAGAGGTCACAGACCCTATTTTTGTGAGCGTTAGGACTGGTCACATCCACTTGCCCTTGGATCTTGGGTCAGTTGCAGGTGGCTTAGGAGAGCCATGCAGGTCCTCAGTGGCCTGTTTCCTGATGTCTGTGGTCATTTTCATGGTGTCTGCAGGCAGTGTTAAGTGCACACTTACATGGTGATTGTGGACCTGCAAAAAGGTTGCTGTGAGATCTCTTTTAGAATTGGTATTGGAAGGTCCACACATGTATGGCTGAAAATATTCTATTGCCCTGGCTCCCTGTCTTTGAAACTTCCTCTTGCATCCTCCTTACTCTCTGTCTCCTACCATTTTTGTCATCCATGTGAGCAATTTTCTCTTCACCTCATTTTCCCCCTACACTATTTTGTGGCTTCTCCAATAAAAACTTGACATGTCTCATTGTACAAATGTGCCTGTTGGTTTTCAAATTGCTTCTGTTTTGCATCCAAATACTTTTCTGTTGTTAAAATGCTATATCCTGTGACATTTTCTTCTGCTATCTTTGGACTACTAATACTGCTATCTTTGGCCAGCCTGCCATCCTGAAGCACCAGTTTTCACAGGGATAAAGTCCCCCTTCCCCTTTCACCCATTGCATTTAAGCTTAAATGTAGTGACTCTAATTGGTGTTAAAAGATGAAGATGCTCACATTATTCACCCTGGACTCCAGGTGGCAGACAAAGAGAACATCAAGCCTGAGCTGAGCCACTTGGCAAAGGTTAGAGACCTTCCGTTTAGTGCCCCCTCACTGGCACATATGCTCTTACCACCATTGTGTCCTGGAAATGTTATTGAAGTCCTGTCACAAGCGTGCCTCTATGGTTTTCAGTTATGGAATGCACAAGTCACCAAAAAGTGGGATCCTTGGCCATTATCTCACAGCGATCCCCTGCCTCAGCCTCCTGAGCACTGGGATTACAGGCATGCACCACCATACCTGGCTTTAGATGACTTTCAATTGCTGCCTTATTTCCTGAGCCCAGCCACAGGCAGGCTAGTTATTTCAGTCTGGTCACAGCTAAGTGCCTTTTTTTCCACTCTCCTCACAACACCACTTCTTGCACAGAGGATCCTTTGTTTATGGCGTACCACCTTGGATGTGGCATTCTTTGAAGGTTGGAGACTTTTCTATCAATTTCCATAATCTTCCCTGTCCTTCACAAGAGCTTGAAGGGTTAATGCAAAATAGCTCTCTTCCCTCACTGTGCAAAACCCTTTGCCGGATACTCCTAGGCTTCAGTGATGGTGCTAAGCACCAAGTAGCCTAACTAGCCCTGTTGGCATAATTTTCAGACGAGAGCAGGGATGGGGAAGGAACTGATTGGGAAAACCAGGTCATGTGTGAAACCAATATTTGCAGATCAGGGTTCTTGACAATGCTGATCTGGGGATGGCAAAGAGGTGGCAATACCCACAGTGTTGGCATTCCTGGCAGTTGCTCTCCTCACCACATCTTGGAAAAATATTCCACTATTTGGAATCTCCCACTTATGGATCTACCTCTGCAGAGGTACCATGGCCCCAGGAAAGCCCAGCTGGGTCCCCAGCTTTGGAATCAGTGGGTTCAGTAATGTGTTTCTCAAGTGGATAAATGACTGTAAACTTCATTTTGGCCTAAGTGGCATTTTAGCAGACAAGGTACTGGGTAGGGAGAGATCAGTAGAAAGGGTAGATCTCTGAGAAGTGCCAGTGCCGGGTGTGGATGCACACACCTGTAATTCCAACACCGTGAGGCAGAGGTGGGAGGATCACAAGTTTGAGGCCTACCTGGGCAACCTAGCACCTTAGAGAGACCCTGTCTAACAATAAATAATAAAAAGACACCAAGCATTTAGCTCAGTGCTGTGGCGCTGGGTTCAGACTCTAGTATCAGAGGGAAATGAAGCATGTCAGAGTCTCCACTGTGTTTGCATCAAGCAATCGTGACAGAATAGGGAGGGAGTGGCTGTTAGAGATCTTCAGACAGGAGTATGATGGGATGAGGAACTTTGAGGAAAACTCAGTCAACTATGAGTCCAGGAGACAAAGAGGAATCCTCAGGATGAAGGGCAGAGTCTCACTTCTCTGGCTTTGTTCAAGCTGTTCCCTCTCACTCCTTTAAAAGAAGCTCCCCTTCCCCATCTCTGGGAGTCCTCAGATGAAATCTCCTTAGAGAGGGGCTCCCAAGTTCTCCAATGACAGCTTCTTGCTTCTGGGAGCTGACTGCTGCACTCAGGCCTGACAGCAAAAAAGTGGACCCAGTGACTCCAGGTTGGAAGAGAGGGTTTCTGGTGACTGAAAAGCACCTTCAAAGAATGCTGAAAAAGGCTGAGGCAGGAGAGAGGCAGCTCTGTGCTGCCATGTTTGGCCACTGGCTCCCTGTGACCTCTGCCCAATCACTGCCACATTGCAGCAGCTCCCAACTTTTTTGGCCAACCCAGTGCCCCACCACCTCCCTGTTGGGTTCAAACTCCAATCTTGGGCACACTTCAGTGAGGCTTCTTGTGGGTGAAAGATCCCATCCCAGTAGCACAGGACATGCAGGCAAACTGACCGTGCAACTGCACTGACTTCGTACCCTGCTGAGTACTGTGGCCTGTGGGCTCCTAATTCTTCTAGTTCTAGGGCAAGGTGAAAGTCTTGCAGAAGATGACAGGTGCTATGGTCACATCTGCCAAAGTAGGCACAGCCAGAGCCAGAAACTGCAGGGGCAGAGAGAGTGAGGTGAGGGAGGAGTTCCAGGGAGGGAGAAGACCAGGGAGATGTCAGTTCATAGTGTGGCAATTGTGTGACCACAAAAATGCCTAAATCCAAGCCCCCAAAATGGACCCTGAATGCAGTAAGGGCATCAGGGTTGCCTGAGGACATTCAATACCTAGTTGGGGTCCAATATGACGACTGCTAAAGAACACAGGACAGGTAGGTCTGAAGTCTGGCAGAGGAGCTGGGATTTGGCACATTTCCTTCTTGGTTGTTCGTTTGGCTGTGTCTGTAGCTGCTCTTGGCCCTTGGGTGTAACAACAGCGATAGTAATAACTTCCTACTCCCCTTTGTCTCTGAGTGTGAGAGTCTCTTAGCCAGAAAAGTGTCCTACCACTCTCCAAAGAATAGGTAACAGGTTTTGAGGGACACAGAAGCCCTTGGGCACCACATCCCAAAGCTGAATTGAGAGGTTACTGGGCTCCTTCTCCCCATGCCCCTGACATGGGTCAGAGGCATGGATTGGTTTTCTGGGCAAAGATGATGTGTTGTTTCACAGTCAGGTAATCTTAGGCTCCTTATCAGGACCTGATATCAGGAGGGATCTATTTGCAGGGTGTGTTTGCAGCCTTTGATCTTCTGAACCAAAAACTCCTGGTGTGGCATCTGATGTCAGTCCCTTGCTTCCCTTATACTTTCTGCCTTGGAGAAATCCTTTCTAGCTCACTCCCTAGTGCACCCTGCTCAGCTTCCTCACTTAGGTTCTATGTGCCATACTATTCCAGGGCATAGAATTTCCAGACCAGAAGATCTGCCCAACTTCACATGTACCTCTTTTCTAGTCTGGCTTGGCTTTATGTTCATTCAGTACCATTGAGGAGCCACAAGAGGGCACAAGGCTGAGGCACAATCTCTTCTGTCTCACTTAAACTTGGGTTCTTAACAGGGCCATCAAGGACACAGTAGATTCCACATTGTTTCCAGGACGGTGACTAAAAACATAGGTATGCACTTCTCCTTGGTTTTCACTGAAATGGCCACAACCTGGTCTTTTATGGTTCTGGGCTTTCCCCATCCTGAAATGAGTGAGACCTCCCAGCACTACATGGAAGGCTTCCTCTTCAAGAACACAGCACCGTGGATATATCCTATCCCCAGCAGGCACATGGCAGCAGGCTCTGTCCTGTGCTGTTACAAGCATCAGGCATCAGTGTGTGGTGGCCACAGTGCGTTACATGGACAGAGGTGCCAACTGGCAAAGCATCATATGTAGGCTGGGAGAAAAGTGAATCTTTTACATAGGAAGATGTTAAACTTCCCTGGCTCATGTCTCGAAGTGTCTGTTCTCGTGTCCTCAGCCATACCAGGTGTTGATCAAAGTGGAGCTGTTGGGGAAGGCAGCATTAACTCCCCATGAAGTTTTGGGATATTTAACTTTTTATATGGAATTTAGGCCAGGAATGCCACATTCTACAGAGGAAGAAACTGTCAGCCGAGACTGGTCCCAGGAGATACCCTCTGTTAGAGATGACAACAGCAGGGGAACTGTTGGCCTGATTGGACATCTCCCTGCACCCTGAGGTCCAGGGAACAACAAGACAGGCAGGGATGCACAGCACTGGTCTGAGGTAGAGAAGAGTGGACAAGCACTATGTGCCCATCATGCACTTTAAACAGCTCTCAGGACTTGCATGACTGAGTATTATCTGAACCTTTCTGTGACAATCAACTGTCTCTTCTCTTTCAGACTCAGGCAGGCCAGGCTTTGTATGTTCAGCGATAGTATGCATTTCTGTCCTACTGCTCCCCATGGTACCACTCCCTGCATGGAGAATGCTTTCTCTACATCACCTCGAGTGTGAGATCCCTGGGGATGGGGTCTTCTCAGTCAATTTCCAGTCCTCCCATTGCCTCACAGATATGGCAGGATAAGTGCAAATTCCATTCTCACCAGATTTGCCTGTGAAACACTTTGCTGGATGGTTGTAGGGCTGGATGTTGGTTCAAAGACTCAAGAAGCCTGAGTGGGCCTCATGGGATGTTCTGGGGCCAGGCCCAGTGTCAGTACTGTTTGGATAGGGGAGCGTGTGTTAGTTTGGGATACGTGTGAGGACAGTGTTTATGGATCAGCGTCTCTTAACATTGCAGAACTGAGGATGGCAAGGAGATAGCAACACTCACAGTGTAGGAGGGGGCTGCAGTAGCAG